ACTTTAAAGTGTATGTGTTAGAAATGTATCTTATGGCCAATGATATTCCCACTAGATTTTTTTAGTTTTACTTCTAAATCTTCTCATTTTGGCCTTTCTTTAGTGATACTGATAGCCTATTCTTGTAGTCTAATGAGTCTTTCATATGGAGAACTACAGACAGAAGAACTCTGCCAGCTTTGGAGTGTCTCAGTCCCAGCCCAACTTCTGCTCATGTTTAGCTCAGGTTAGGCTAAAATTACATTTTATTGGTCAAAAATAAATAAGTAAGTAATGTGTCTTTCTTTTTTTTCCAAAAGAGCCTATGGCTAGTTCTTTAATTTCTGTGTTTTCTGCATAGAAGAACTGAAATAAACTTATACAAGATAGTTTTCTATTCCAAGATATATACTTCTTCATAAAAATGCTAGAATATTTTTACTTCTAATTCTAATGATTTTTGGTCTCTTGAAAAAATATTTTTGAAGAAAAATTCCAATTTTAATTCTTTAAAGCAATCAGTATTTTTATAAATTCACAAAAAGCAAATAGAAAATATTTATGTTTACCACAGGCAGTATTTTTATCTAAGGGTAGCAATTCCTGTAGATCTTCACTGCTATTCTTCAAACTTTATGGTCTGGTAATAGTCACCACTGACTAAGAATGGGTAGGTGTTCTATATGATTACATTGTACTGAGAGTGCTGTTCACATCCACTGGAAAGGTCTCTGTGTTTCCATTTTCTTCTTACTGAGACCTCGACTGCTTAAAATTCTATGGCACAAAATTAAGCTGTTTATTTACTTTAGAGAGAATCTGAATTCTTATATTTGACAGTAATGAATTTAAGTTAAATAGCAAATTTTGTTTTATAGGTCATTGTCAACAACTTTGCAAACTGGTCTTCCTGGTGGCACATATTGTGATGTCATTTCTGGAGATAAAATTAATGGAAATTGCACAGGAATTAAAGTCTATGTTTCCAGTGATGGCAAGGCTCAGTTTTCTATTAGTAACTATGCTGAAGACCCATTCATTGCAATTCATGCTGATTCAAAGTTGTAAAATTTAAATTAAATGCATATACACAGCATTATCAAGTGTCTTTTTATTGTAAATACATTAGTTTCCATAATCCTTTAAATTTTATTATAAGATTATGTCATCAACTTGAAAAGGTCAAGCATTAAAAAATTGCATTACTTATATGTATAATTATAAGAAAACAATAGGCAAGGTGTTATTGTTTTAGAAGACACACTTTAACCTGCCTGTCAAGGGAATTTCTAAGAACTCAGAAAGGCATTTTGACAAATACATTTATTGTCATTCACACCATTTGTCCACTATGTATCTCTTATTTCTGAGATATAGTCTGAAAGTCTGTCTACGATTTAGAGATATAGTCTGAAATTCTGTCTGTAATGCTCTCGCAGAGTCTTTCTTCCAATTAGAAAGAACTGGTTTAATGGTGATTCACATACTGAGATAGCTCAATTGGATGGTTTTCACAATACAGAAGTGGTTTTATAATTTACAGAGTTAAAAATAGAAGAGCCTGGGGCTGCGGTTGTGGCTCAGTGGTAGAACACTTGCCTAGCATGTGTGAGGCACTGGGTTCATTTCTAAGCATCACATGTAAATAAATGAATAAAATAAAGGTCCCCCAACATCTAAAAAATAGTTAAAAAAATAGAAGGGACTTCAATTACATAGTCTATAATTTTTAATATTATTGAGCCTACAGGAATATTCTACTCCTTTCCCTACAGTCTTGTCTCTCATTTTCTTTTTTTTTAACTGTTTTTTTTAGCTATAGTTGGACACAATGCTTTTTTATTTTACTTATATATTTTCATGTGGTGCTAAGGATCGAACCCATCACCTCACACATGCTAGGCGCGCTCTCTACCACTGAGCCACAACCCCTGCCTGCCCTCCTCTCATTTTCTTTCAGTGGTTTTGACTTGCTGTCACATGGCTTTTCATTCTTGCTCCAACCTCTAACATGGATGTTCAGTTAAGGCTTTCATTTCACTATATTCTCCAGATTTTCTTTGTGATCCTCTAGTTGTTTATTCCCCATTATCTAAAATTTTAACATAGAATTTCTTATGGCCCTCACATTAATCTTTGTATAACTCAGTTGTTTTATAATGCTTAAGTGATAAGATAGAAAAAATAAATTGAGAACTCTTCTTTTTACCTATAAATTTATCTGTCTCTGCCATGAAACAGATTTATAGTGCATTGGTTACAACTTCAGCCCAATTTATCTTGGGCTCCAATTTTCTAGAATTTCTGTGACTTTTATGATACAGCTCTCTCTCTCTCTCTCACACACACACACACACACACACACACAAGAATTTTCATGAAGCAGGTTATTTATTTACAGAGAGGCAGCAAGGGACAACAGACACTTAGCATAGCCATTCTCCCAAGGCTCAGAAAAGCTGCACAGGGTAGATGCGGTCAAATGTGCCTCATTTGTTCCAAAGCAGAGGGCAAAAAGAAGCCTTCCCTAGATTTATAACCCAGGATTCACAAGATTTTCTGGGCTAAAGTGTAGAAGGACATCTGGTTCTTGGAGGGACAAAAGCACCTTGGGCTGTCATTTCTAATTCCCATTCCTTCTTATTTCAGGATGCTGTTTTTCAGCCCATTTCTACAGTGCTAAGGATCGAACCCATCACTTCACACATGCTAGGCGCCACTTGAGAACTAAAAATGTAAAATGGAGACCAACTGGCTTGGTCCACACAGCATTGGAGAATAGTCATTTATTTGCACACAGGATTTTCTTCTTTTCTCTGTCATGATAAGAACTGAAAAACATACCACATTCTACCAAAGGTCATTCCATCCACTTTTGTCAATGGTCTTGCCATTTTTAACCTCTCTGTTGTAGCCATCTTTTTCTTCCTACCTCATTAGTCCCCTTAGATTATATGCACTATAGTCTTTCTACTAAAAAAAAAAAAAAAATCCATGATTTTAGCCAGGCCCAGTAATGTACACCCATAATCCCAACTACTTGGAAGTTAAGGCAGAAAGATCAAAATGTCCATATCAGTTTAGGCAATTTAGCAAGACCTTATCTCAAAAGCAGCTGAGGATGTAGCCCAGTGGGAAAGTACTTGCCTAGCATGCACAAGACCCTTGGTTCAATTCCAGTAGTACAAAAATAAAATGGATAATTAAATAAGTCCATTCTTTGGTTTTATATGGTTTTGTCTTCCAAGTGTCATGTTTTGGTCTTGGTCCCCATTTGGTGATGTGAGGGACAATGGGACCTTCATGTGGTGAAGCCTAGTTGGAATTGGTTAGGTCATTTAGGGTACTATCCCCTAAGGGATTAAGGAAGTTCTGTGGGAACTCTTTTAGTTCCCAAAAATGAGTTGTTGCAAAAGAGTAAGTCTGACTCCTAAATCCCTCTCTGGCTTCTTGTCTCACTGTGTGATCCCTTTATAGGTGTTCCCACTATGATACCATTCACAATGAGACCCTCACCAGAGACCAAACAAATAGGACCACCCAATCCTGGTCTCTTGGCATCTAAAACTGAAAATAAATAAACCTCTTTTTTATGTTTTCCATAGTATCAACATCATTTCTCATCTCTCCAATGACTATTTTCCATCATCAATACATTCACCTTATTTTGTTATTCCTATATCAGCGGTAACATTTATGTTATCTGTCTTATGTACTTCTCTATTCTTATTGTATTCTACTTCATATTCATAATCAATATGGTGGATCACTCTTTCTTCCTTTTCTACCATACTCTTTTATGGTATTCTTTTGTATCACTGATCACTATTTTTAAATTTTTTATTTGTTCTTTTTTAGTTACACATGACCATAGAATGTATTTTGTCACTGACCACCTTTTTAAAGTTCTTTTTACTGAATAATCTTTTTATGTTTTACCAAAGCCTCATTTTTGTTTAATTCTCTTTTTAATCCTACCTTATACAAATGATTCCAATCATTTCCATGGATTTAAAGCAAATCCCTTTGCATAATACCTATATCTCCAAATGCAGAACATTTCTTGGACTTTAGGTCACATTTCCAGTAGGTGCTATATTTATATAAATCAAAGGAAAATATAAACCTTTATACTTAAATCTCTTAAATTTGTATTGTGCTTAGAATAAAATTTCAATCACAGTATTTTACAAAACCAAAGAAACTAGCTCTCCAAGCTCAACTCTTATTTTTCACCTTAGCTCTCCCATACCCAAATTCTTCTGGCCTTTCTCCATTTTCTTGACTATGCCATATTATTTTTCATTTTGAGGATTTTGTTGAATGTCCTCCCTTCTTTACTTTTGGAATGCTCTTAAACCATTATGGCTGGCTTTGATCCTTTATAAATACTCCCTAACTCAGTGATTATCATTGTCATTTATTCAATTCTTCAATCGAGAAATCTATGTTGCATCTTTGAAATTCCCCATTATGTCTCTCAGAACTAATCAAGCACCACATTCTTTAGATTTTGCCTTCTAAATATTTCTTGACTGTGTTTTTTTTCTCTCTCTCTACTACCACTATCTTGTCATTCTTTTCTTAAATGTCCCAAACCTGCTATTTTATGTTCTTCAATATGTGCAAAAAGCCACAATGAATTGAAAGCCTGAATCACTACAGTTTATTTATGACAACTTCAAGTAATTACAGATCCACAGGTTATTAATATTGAAGATTAAACTTTACCTCAGCTGCAGAGGGGAAGAAGAACTTTATGTGGACATAAGATAGTAAACTTCAAAAATAATATTTGAAAGGGATTCTATGATGGCATAACTATGTTTCTACAAGGGAATATATTTTACAGAGGCTAAATATATTGTCCAGGAGAGTAAAACATTACTAAAGTCTAAAGTATATGCAGATGCTTAAGTCAAGTCCTTGATAAACAAATTAACTCCATTTAAGGCATTCTTCCAAAAGAAGTTTGTATAGTAGCTGAAATTTTTACTCTTAGTATCCCTTTAATGGAATTCCTTTATTTATCAAGGTCTTGACTTCAGCATCTGCATCTACTTAACCCTTCCTCCATCCACATGGTTCTCCACCATACAACCAAAGTGATTTTCAAATTGGAAAACCATAACCATCACCACTACAATGTTTCCAAATCTCATTAATGGATTTTTTACTTTGCATAGGATAAAAGGCCAAAAATCTAACTAGACTATTAAGCCTGCATTTGAAACCTCACCTCAAAATATTTCTTCTCTTTAGCTTCTGGTTTCTTTTTAGCAAAGCTAACCTTTTAGTTATTTGAACTTAACAAACCTCACTTAGCTTCTTAAGTTCAATACAAGAAACATTCTAGGTCAGGGCTGATGGCGCACACCTGTAATTCCAGTGGTGTGGGAGGCAGAGGCAGGGGGATCAGGAGTTCAAAGCCAGCCTTATCAAAAGCGAGGTGCTAAGCAACTCATTGAGACCCTGTCGCTCAATAAAATACAAAAATAGGGCTGGGATGTGGCTCAGTGGCCAAGTGCTCCTGAGTTCAATCCCAGTACCCAACCCCTTGCAAAAAAAAAAAAAAATTCTTTTCCTTCTACTTGGGATATTCCTTACCTCTTCCCCTAATAAACGTCTATTCATGGTTCAAATTTTGGTTCAATGGCTGACGTATGGATTAGGTCAGATCCCCTGATTTCTTTCATGACTGCCCATATCATCCTTCTTATTACTCATTAGTATTATGGAAAATGCCTATTTTGCTCTTTATTGAATCCTTATTCTCAGTATAACATCCAGAAGCTATAATGTATGAATTCAATAAGTATTTGTAAAATGAATCGATATATTGATTTGCTTAATACCTTGCTTTTGCTGAGGCTGGCTTTGAACTTGTGATCCTCTTGCTGCAACCTCCTGAGCTGCTGGGATTACAGGCATGTGCCATCATTTCCAGCTCAATTTTTCTTTTTAAGAAACTAAAAATGGAAGACTAAATTAAATCCCCAGAGCAAGTAGAAGGGAAAACATAAAACAAAACTTGAATCACTGAACTTAAACCTGAAACAGTATGGGAA